TAGCAGTAACACTCTGAGTCCAGGGTGTCATCTCACTCTGTGGCAGCTGGTGGAACCGAGCCCAGAGTGTCTCTCCAGAAGATAGTTTGATGGGTTGGAGGTCCAATATTGTTATTAATATATTCAATAAAACCAGCCCAATCCTCAAAAATGTGTGCGTCTTCTTTTTCTACTGCAAGACCTGAAGGCACAGGAGAGATTTTCTGACAACCATGTGTCCCAAATCCTCTTCCATCAGTTGCTCAGTTGAACATCTCCTGTTTTCCAACATCTTGCGATTTCAGCTCTGGCCACTGAGATGAGGAATGTGACCAGTTTTCGATTTTTCAGATGGCTTTCATCCCATCGATAGCATTAGAAGACCTGGGCAAATCGTATGGATTGAGGAGGCCATTTTTTATAATCTTATGGGTGTTAAATACCATCTATATATGGCCTTTAAGGTTCTCTCCCATCAATGCTGACCATGATTTATATGGGGAGGAAGTACAAATGCATGACCAGGTGGTTTCAGAGATACTCATGTTAGATCAGATTGGCAAATTATCTTAGCACGTTGACTTTTGCTAGTATGTGGATTGCATTAGATTTTTACATATAATAGCTGCCCCACCTTTAGATCTTTGTCCTTTTGCTATACAAATGTGTTTGTAAAAGGCCAAGGGACAGGGGCAACAATTTTTTATCAATTTGCTTTTTGCAAAGGAGAGCACTTGCAGTATTTGGAACCATGAGGATTTGGTGTGTCCCAAGGCACTGAGGAAATTATCTGTCATTTTGAGCTTTGCATATTAAAATAAATCCATAATCCTGTATAGGCCACACTCCTTCAAACATTTGAATTGATCTAATTTACCCACTTTATAAAAATGGGGGTGAAATAGGAATGGGCGAATAGGGGAAGGATCTGGAGCTAGTATGTGAACCCATTGCTTCAAAATAAGGAGGGAGTTGTAGGGAAATGGGTTTCAAATCTCCTTGAACAACCTCTGTGTCCTTATAGAGAAAAGAATTTTAAGTTCAGCTAAACTATAACTATCTAGTTCCATGGTTACCCATTTGGTGGAAAATTAAGTTGGGAGAGTTGGTTTAGTTGGAAGGCATGATAATAGAATTTGACATGGGATCGCCAACCCTCCTTCCCCAGTGTTAGTATATCTAACAGATTTAAGGAATTTGGGTCTTTTTCTGTTGAATATGTAGTCATTAATCATCTTTTGCCAGAATTTGAATTTTAGGGGAGTTGGACAAATAGTTATAGATTGGAATAGAAAAATAAGTGTGGGATAAGAAACATCTTTACAATGGCAATCCTCCCAAGAATGGAGAGGTTTAAGTGTTTCCACTCCCTTATTTTTTACTTTCATCCATTTAGTGACAGGGTTATAGATCTTGGGCACCAATTGAGATAAATCTTTTGTGATAAGAATTCCTAGATATGTGAATCCAGAGGGACATAGTTGTAATCCAGAGACGTTTGTCAGCTTGTCCTGGTCTGAAGGCAGAGCATTCAGATACATCAGTTTAGATTTTTTGATAACTGATCTTAAGCCCTGCATGCTTCCCAAAGGTGTCCAACATCTTTTTTTGTTTCAGGAAATGATGTTATAAATTTTTGCACTGCAAGCAGAATGTCATCTGCATACAACAATATTTTGTGATGGTGGCCATTGATACAGGCCCAACAACATTTGGGTTTGACCTAACTATTTCAGTTAAAAAGTCTGAATAGTATTGGTGAGAGGGAACATCCCTGCTTAGTGCCTCTGTGTAAGTGGAAGCAATCTGAGTCTACCCCATTAACCAACACTGTCACTTCTGAGTGTTTGTAAAGATGTTCTAAGACAGATATAAATCTATTGCCAAAATTCATCTCCTTTAGTACGCTGAATAGGAAATGCCATTCAACCCTGTTGAATGCCTTTAACGCATGCAGTGAGAAAAGTGCCAGAGGAGCTTTTGTCTGGGATGAGTCGTGAATCAAATTAAGAACTCTATGGACTGAATCTGACATTCTCCTACCTGGCATAAAGCCTACTTGATCCAGGTGGATATAATCCAGGATAAATTTGTTTAGCCTGTTTGTCATAATAGACATGAATAATTTCACATGCCTTGGCCCTGAT